TCTTAAGGCTGGTAAGAGCCAAAGTGTGGCTGGCTGGCTGGCTGTAGCACACACATACATAGCTGGGAGTGACTTACATGCTGAAGGCTGTTTTGTGAGCAGTCCAGGCTGAAGGCTACAGCAGTAAGGCATTGTAAAGGACACCCCAGATTACAGGGCAGGGGTGACACAGGTACTAATTAGTCTGGATTGTACCCTGGTATGTCACACCATCCCATGCTTAAATTTTATTCTGGAGTCTCTTTTGGCTACTGGTATGATTATAACTAGTACACCAATAGCCAAAAGATTCAAATATAGAATTTTCACTCTAAAATTAAGATTTTTTTATTTTCTCTCTGTACCTTCTTTCTCCTTTCCCAATTTTTTTTTAATTAATTTCTCTCCTAGTCTAGAAATCTTTTGGGCCCCTTTCGCATCCTGGGATTTTTAGTCAACATTCCCTCCCTACTTTGGGGGTAGTTGTTTTTCTTATCTTGGTATTTTTGGGGCACCTTATCCTTCTGGTTGGTTTGAGGCAGGGGGATTCATGCATTTCACCTCTCCTTAAAATTCCTTCTGGATTTTTTTGGGGTCATGCTCCCACTGTGGTCCCTTCATAGAGTGTGCTTCTTCTCACTTACTCCATTCCCCAAACTCACAGGAGGGTGCTGCCAACACCCCTAGAATGAAACTGATGAAAGCCTAGCCATTTTCACCCTCAGGAGCTAAAAAGACCACTGTAAATTCAACCCCAGATAAATCACTTTCACTCTTCCCCTGCACTGTTGCTTACAGTGCTGTAAGTGAAACGGCCTAGACTGCCTGAACTACCCTGGGTTTCATTCCTGCACAGCAGTAGCAGCTGTATCCTTGCCTGTACACTGGCCTAATATGGATTTTTCAAGATGCGTAGGAAAAGGGGCATAGGAAAACCTTTCAGTCAAAACTGAACATTTGCTGGGATAGTCTCTTTTGGCTACAACTGGCACAGATCGCTTACTCATGAAGTTTTTAGATTTCTTACATTGAAGATTTCTTTTTCATTGTGCAGTTTGAGTGAAGTTAATGGTATTTAGCACTCAGTCTTCATCTGTTTTATTGTCATTTTCTGGTACTAGTGAGGTGTGTTCTGTCAGGTGAATCTTAGGCCTTGGCTACACTCGCGGATTCACAGCGCTGCCGCGGCAGCGCTGTGAAGCACAAGTGTAGTCGCGCCGCCCGCGCGCGTACTCCACCTCTCCGAGGGGAATAGTACTCCACCTCTCCGAGGGGAATAGCTTGCAGCACTGCGAGGGAGTGTGCAGCGCTGCAGGCGCTGATTACACTGGCGCTTTACAGCGCTGCACTCGCTGCGCTCAGGGGGGGTGTTTTTTCACACCCCTGAGCGCAGCAAGTGCAGCGCTGTGAATTGCCAGTGTAGCCAAGGCCTTACAGTCATTTACTCTCCCTAGAAGAACAGTGAAACAGAGATTCCTTCAAGAGAAACTTCCAGACTCAATGTGTGAAGTTACTCATTTATCCTCTGGATGGGGTGGCACTTCCTAACAATGCAATTACATTATTACCATGTATATATTTTGCTAAACTGCTACTTAGGGTTTAAAAGAGATCACTATCTACTATTGACAATACAAATTAAGTTTTTGGGATAGTCAAGTGGGAAACTGCGTAATAGTTAAGCTTGTCTTGCCTATACTACAGTCACAAGTTGAATCATGTTTAAACACAGAACTTAAATGAGAAGGCCATTTCCCCTGTCCAGTGTGAACAAGGATGAACCATGCCATTTAGCATATTACAACATTTTGCAATACTAGGACTTAAGTCTACACAGATATGGAAACTATTAGCAACTTGCTAATAAGAACTGTCTTTGAACATGTTTCTGGCTAATATGGTTCCAATTTTCAGGCCTTAAACTGTATAATGGAGAAAAAGATGCTTTTCTCCTAATAACAGTTCCAAAATTGTGTGGTTTTGTTTTAAATAAAAAACAAAAGGCTGAAGTCAAATAGGTTAAATTATAATTTACAGTTAGGTTATTATTAGGTAGCCCTAAGGATTCGTGTACCCTACTTTCACCCACAGCATAAGGATCACCAGTTTTCCAGACAGAGAACACGATTCCCTTTAAATCCATCAATGACATTCCAAATCTGCCAGCAGGATCTTTAAATGGTGGGATGCACTTTCCCCCTTTCCTTCATCCTTGCTCAAGTGGCCAACTGCAAATTATTACCCTTTTAAACTCTGCTAGTCTGCTATGCATTTACATATTCCAGAAGAGAAGGATATTAATCCTTAACTCCATATTTTTATTTTAGCTAATCTATATGAAAATCTTTTCCTGAGCACTATGGTTATCTTCCAGGCTGATACACAGCATTAAAGATTGGCCTGGATCCAAAGCAACAAGATGTCCATTTTTTGTTACTTGACTGTATACAAAAAAAAAGTCTGACAGGCTGGTTTTGTTTTGTTTGCTTGCTTGTTTTTTAAACCTTAGAAATATCAAGAATTCCAAAACTCATCTTCCCTGTTTTTACTAGAACTCCTCAGCTGTAGATTGGCAGTCTTCTCACCCCTCAGTCGCAGTTGTGAGGGATACTGAATCCTTAACAGAAAGATCTTTTCTTCCAAGTATTTTTTTAACTAAATAAAACAAGTTTTAAACCATCTCCAAAAAATCAGTTCCCGCCTCAATTTATCAAGCTTCACTTCCTTGGAGTTTCTGCTATAACACGCCTACTAACTCTCCAGTCACTTAGAGAGTCCTGTAGAATAGATAAAACCCCAAGCAGAAAAAAAAAAATCTATTCAGGCCTTCATTATGCATCAAGGGAAAAAAGGGCACAAATAACTTTCCCCCCAACCCCATGTGCAAGTTACCTTTAATGACACAGGATTTCAAGAAGAATTTTTGGGGTAGGTGAAAACAAGTAAATCTATAATAAGTGAATTCCTGTAAGAGACTGTTAACATCACTATTTGGATACAAGAAGGGTCATTCAGTCAAGGGGTGTTATTTTTTGTCTAGAGTCAACTAATTTATGTGATTTTGTAGCCAAATCAAAAAATCTAAGCCAATATGGTTGACAAAATGTGACATGTTTAAAGCTGATGGCTTGCTCTTTTTGCAGAGAAATATGTGATTACACTTTTCTTCCTACAGTCCATCTGAGGTGACTTCTGAAGAACCAAAGAAATATTAAGAGAAAGGAATGTAAACCAAGAAGCCAAATTCCAGATTGATTTATACATAGTCTGACTCCATTGACTTAACTGACTTTGTGAAAGTCACTGCAGAATTTTACACAGAGATCTCTCTCTTAAGCGGACACATTATTTTCTGTAAGTTACAATGTGTGGATGACAGTGAATAAAGGCTCCACCTATAACAAAGATTTTTTTTTTCCAATCCCAAAGCAGAGATTCTCTGTTTAATTTATCTAATATTTCTTTTTCTGTAACCCAGATTTTTGCTAGGACAGACACTTACCTTCCTGGGTTATTTAGCAATGTGATTAGTTGTTCACCATATTTAATTCCCTATACAGAATAAATATATTTTTGTAGTGTGTTAAATACTGTTTTTCTAGAGTGAGACATCTCTAAAATAGTGTGGACCATTATCTTAAAAACTAGGAACAAATGCCTGATTAGAATTAAAAGCCACATGAAATGTATGTCCTAAATCAAACCTCAAAAAGCAATGCAACTAACAAGACTTGCCAGACAAGTAGCCCAAACACCATGACAAAACTGCAAAGACATGCAGTAGGGAAATCAAAAGGAAGAAAGAAATAATCAAAAAATGAGACTAAGCACTAGTAACAAGTCAGCAAGGACAAAAATATAAACAAGAAAGATTCTTAGCATTAAACACTGGATTCAAAGTAACTGGCATTATGCCACAGTGTGGGTGGATTCCAAGTTACCATTTATGGACTGCAAGCCACCAACAGAGCTCCATATCACTAAGGCAAACCATCTGTATACTGTAGATATTTTGCTTGGGTATCTTTCAAAACAGTGTACTTTTAGAACCATCTTGATTATAAAAAAGGGGAAGTTTAAGGGAACTGACAAACCATGACATATGCAATATAAGGCTCAGGCTGTTCCTAAAGTAAGGGCATAGGCAGCTCAGCAGTCTCTTAAAATATATTGTATGTCCATCTGAAGTCTAACACTTATTTTAAAGAGGCACCAATTCTAAAATGCAACATTCCTTTATAGTTATTGTGCCTTGTTATTAACTTTCAGTAAATATGGTAAATGTTGACTAGAGCATCCCACTATTATTATAGGATGCCAATCTGTGTGCTAGGCTCTCAGCTCCAAAGGGCTCTGCAGTCAGCAGGAACAGAGCCTTACCTATTAAAGGATGAGTGACTGGATTCACTCTCAGTTTCTCATATTGTGTGTGTTTACATTTGGAAAACTCAGTTAGTTTGCTGTACTACAAAGAAAGGCAGCAAAGACAATCTCCCTCTTTCCTCCAAGAAAGGATGTGGGCCTGATGCAAACCCTGCAGAGACCTGCACCTCAGGTTGAGCTGACGCTAGGCCTAGCCTCAACTTCCAGAGGGTCCCACCTTTCTGGTGCTGCTCCTGTCATTCCCCCCCCCGCTACCAGGTCCCATTCTGCTCAATATGAACAGCTTCTCCAAGCCACTTGGGGCTATTTGTTTCCCCGTCCCGCACTGCAGGTGTTGCTTTTGCATCCCTCCCCCCACCCTAAAGACCTCCTACCCCATCACCCCCCCCACCCGGGGCTGCTTCTGCCGCCCCTCTCCCCACCAAACCCCAGGCCTGCACCACCCCCACGCTCTCAGCCCTCAGTCTCCTGCCCCTCGGGGTCTTCCCCTCACCCGGGCGCAGAGGCATCACCTCCTGCGCACCGCGCTGGGTAGCAGAAGCCTAAGCGCCGCGGGGCGGGGTCGGGCCAGCTCTGGAAACGAGGCGGGCAGGTGGCTCCCCGCCCCGGGGGCTCGGGCAGGGCCCCAGGCCTCTTACCTGCTGCTACCACAGCGGCCGCCAGGCAGAGCGAGAGGAGCGGCAGGGGCGGCCCCAGCAGCACCTCCCTTCCCACCCCCGGGAGCAGAATGACGGGCCCGGCCGCCCCGGGAGGCATGACGGGAAATTCCTGGCCAGCGGCAGCTAATGCCAAATATGAGCATGGAGCAGAGGAGAGAGTACAGGGGCCAGCTCCGTCCTGCCCCCAACGCGCCCCGCCCCGCCCCGCCCCGCCCCGCCGGGCACCAACCCAGCCGCAGGGCCGGGCTGCCGGGTGTGGTGCTGCTCCCCCTAGAGCAAACGGCACCCCAAGTGTTATTTGGGGGGGAGACTCCCACCATAAGCGGAGCCCTTGCCAGCTTGCGTCAGGCGAGGAGCTGGCACGGAGCGTCTCTCTCCCTAGGGTGGGGAATTACTGCGTGGGCTTTAGCACAGGCCTGAGAGTCGGACACTGTTGCAGCCCAGCAATCATTTCAGCCCTATCTCACTGGGGAAGGATGGTCCGACGAAAATGGAGCAGGCCGTCTCTGTTAATACAGGCTTCGCCACCGACCCCACTGCTGCTCCCTTGCAGGCTGTAGGGAGACTGCAAACTGATAATTTCAATAATAGTTTTTGTAATTTGAACCCATTACCTAGGGTGACCAGACAGCAAGTGTGAAAAATCAGGACAGAGGGTGGGGTAATAGGAGCCTATATAAGAAAAAGCCACCAAAATCAGGACTGTCCTTATAAAATAGGGACAGCTGGTCACCCTGCCATTACCAAGAAAAAAGAAAAACCACCTCCTCCAACTCCTGTAAAGGGTAAATAGCAGCCCGTGAAAGTGACTTTCACGCCCAAGGCGGGGTTCAAATCACTAATCTAGAAATACGACTATTGTTAGCATCTCTCAATTTATTAATTTCCCCTTTTAGCATTGAAGCAAGTCCAGATTATATATTGGAAAATGCTTAATACAAACAGGAAAGGATGTGGTAGAGTGACCAGCTTCATTAATGTATTTGCTGTAAAAACTATGGTGTTGGCTCCCTAATCTGAAAGAGACCACCACTCAGCTATAATGGCTTTTTAGTCAAGAGAGTGCGTAAGGGAGATATGGTCTTTATTTCTCTTCTTGCTGTAGTAAGATTAAACCTACATTAAATGGTGCAACTGGTCTCAGAGAGCATAGACCTCTGAGGGAGAGGAGAGGGAAGGTGGGTATTATTTAGTTAGGTAGTTTACTGGTTTAACCACTATAGTGCCAAGTGTCTTAAAAGCCTTGAGTACAGCTTTATGAATATCTGAAGATTAGTAACCCCTGTGTGCTAGCTTTAACACACCCAGAGAAAAAGTGGTGGCTATTTAAGAATTTTATCACAAAGGAAAGTGGTGTCATTACCCAGCATAGCAATAAGAAAGGGTTAATCATGGTCTTTTACATGTCAAGTATTGCATACAATTGCTGTCAGACAGCAGATGTGCTTCTATAATTAACTTTTCTTTACTGTTCTCCACAGACCATAAAGATAGCATTGCAAAAGAAGCAAATACAACTGGCTAAACGTAGAAACCAGAATTACAACACAGCTATAGAAACTGTTCTGGAAAGCCAGAGGATTTAACGAAAGATAGATGTTTCAAAAACAGAAAAAAAAACCTTAATAGCAGCATAGAAGAAACCAGGAAATATTAAAAGTATTTCCAACTTTGAACTGTTTTTAAGAAGTTTTCTGATTGGGCTGTTTGTCATCTTCCCCTACCCATACTCACTCTTGTATTTTAATTCAAAATCTATAGGGATTTTCTTCATTGCACTAGTGCGCTCACCTTTTGATATTTCAAAATATGCAGGTTACAATTTCCCTAGTACAGTAACATAGCTTTTAGACTTTCAGGCACCTATAAAACATTCTAGTCTCCAGGAATAGGCATTTATTGCGGTCTAACTTTTGGGGAAATACAATACCTTAATCAAATAAATGATTAAAAGGTGACTTAGTCACAATCCACAAGTAATGGCAGGGGGAAAAGATTTGTCATAGTAGCTATCTACCAGAAAAAATATGAGATCCAATGGTTGGAAGCTGAAGCTAGACAAATTCACACTAGAAATAAGGTGTAGTGCATGATAATCATGGACGTCTACCTAGAGATATGATGGGAGTCTACAAATTTGTTATAGCTCAAACAGAAGTTATGAGCTTGATGCTGCTGACATTTGTGGATGAGATTCTTGGACCAGTGTTATGCAGGTCAGATTAGGTAATCATAATGTTCCCTTCTGGCCTTAAAATATATTACAAAAATAAAATACACACTCACTGGAACTCCCACATACTCCCGTGCTCAATGTCAGTGATCTCTCAGCTCAAGATTGGTCTTCAGTGGAGTTAAAGTATGTATTAAATCAGCTCTACAGCATAGTCTAAACTTGTGTCTTGTGAACATGAGTTTTTGTTAAAACTTTAAATAGTTGTAGTACGAAGCTCTTCTCTCACCCATTCACCAAATGCAGACAAACATACAAATCAAAGAGAGACTTCTGAAGATGGAAAAGTTGAGACACATATAAAAACCCCTAATAAACCTTTAATTAGAGTTTTGTTTTTGTTTGTTTGTTTTTACAGGACAGGTGACAAATTACATCAAATATCTGATTTTTCTCAAATGTCCAGATATTATACACATTCCCCTCTGTCTTGCAGGGAGGGATATTGGTCAACTTAACAGTTTTAGGTAAAATAAGCTGCATAATAGTCCATATTACAATAATAAAATGTACAGTGTTTACAAGAAATATATTTTAGAAGCAAGAAAATGATGCATCTGCATCAAAAGGTGACCTTTTAAAATGCCACAACTATTTTTACATTCACTCTTGCAACAGGTCACAAGATGGGGTCACTAAGATCAGGTCAACAAATCACTATGATGCACATCAAATACAGCAAAATCGGTTTATATACATATATAATACATATACATGTATATTATACATATACATATATGTATATATAGTAAAACTCATGAAAATCTACCAGACCTGACATAAAATCTACTCACTCATCAAAAATATGTACTTGTCCCTCATGAGTAGAAATTTGCATGGCAGATTATATATATATTATATATACTCATTCATTAGCATCTGAGACGTAAAACTGAGAATTAAAAAATTTTTCAGATAACAAACCCTCCAATAATAAACATGGTGCCCACAAAAGCACAAGGTAAGGCACAGTAAGATTTTCTGTTGCAGAATAGTGTGCATCATGTTTAATGAACCATAAGAAAAACATGCATTATTTGTGCAAGTTCATGCTGCAAATCCATCATATCTACAAAAGAAAGTGAGTTTTACTAAATTTATTTTAACTGGTACACTTTCAGTCTCACCACCTATGCAATATTTAGCTGGATAATTATAGACAAAATTATATTGTATAAACAAGGGATCAGTGCAGCCAATAGTCTTAGATTTGCAATGAAACTTCTCAGCAACAATTCTGTAGTTACTAAGAGTGAATAAATGTTAATACATAAATTTAACATTGAAATAAAGTAACTCACTTGTACATTTATATTTCTAGCTCTCATGAACCAAAATTTTGTTGCAAAAAATATGCACCCTTGTTAATTTTACAGGTAACTGGTTAATTAAAACTTATTTAAAGTTATAAATATATTAGGAAAGTTACTTAATCCCAATAGTACTTTGTCACAGTCCTGGTATTTGTAATAAATACAGCTTTTCACAAAATATGTTTTCAGTATCTGCCAATTGCTTCTTTATTGCTCACATAAATTTGAATCCACCACAATTGGTATCAGACCTTTCACACAAAATCATAGTCAGATATTTCAATATAAAAACTATAAAAGATATTTAACTTGTATCTAATACTTTAAGGTGTTCGGCCGTTTGACTTTTATGTGATGGTACAGCCAACACTATAAAAAACATTAGGTTATGAATAAAATAGGAAGCTTATTCACTGCTTTAATGCAGACATCCTCACAGAACACGACTACTTTTGCCACCACCAGCATTTACACTTATGTACAAAAACCAGTATATCTGCATTCAGTTTCTGTTTCCCTCATTTATATGCAACCACTACAGCCAAATTAATTTTCCCATACCCCAGCTGCAGCAAATGAATCCTTTACAGCAACAGAAACCTAAGATTAGACTGAAAAATTAACATTTTTTACTTATTCGCCATCAGGAACTGTAGGTGTTTGTTACAAAATATCCACAAGATTATTTCAAAGGAAACTATGGAAATACAGGAAGCCTTTTTTTCTCCATGCTTTTGGATTATTATCAAAACACTTCTTGGTGCAAAAAAATACAGCCGCCACATCTGAAAATGTTTAATAAATTCAGTGTTCTTCATGCAAAAATTAAATGCATTGTTTATTCAAGCTCCAAAAACTTCCTGAAGCAACTGTTTTTGTCCACTTAGTATTACTGCCTCATTGCTAAGTCCCTTTGGAAACAAGATTTCTGGAACGTTCAGACTTTTATTTAATCAATGAAAATATTACATACAAAAAGCACTAAAAAAGGAAGACGGCAGCCAAACAGGAATTTTCCTGCTGCAAGTAACAGTCCTACAAGTTGTAGAAAGTCTTCTCAGGAGCTTCCCTGAGAGTTAGTTGTGCCTGTTCGTAGACGAAGATGTGACATTGAGTTCATGTGTTTGTTTGATGGCTTCAAGGGTGTGTTGCAAGTAAGAGCCTGGGGAAAGCGATGATGATATCGATCTAGCCGCAGGTATTTTACCGTTACCAGCTTTCCTGTAGTAAAATACAACCAATTACTAGTTTGAGTATGTAATAAGACCATTACATTTAGTTTAACAGATAAATACTTCAGTGCACTGATGTAATCAACAAATTGCCAGACAATTCATACCTACGAAAAATGTCAAAATGTATTTTGTTATTGCTTAATATTTTAGTTAGAAGCCATCTTACAATGCTAGCTAAAAATGACAGTAGCTGCATTTTTCCCCAGTTTATAACCCCCAAACTTCTTACCATCAAACCAAGAGCCATGTAATGCTTTAAAAGCCTTTCCAGCATATTCCGGAGACAGACACTTGACATATACACAACCCT